ACTTAAATGTATGTTCAAAGATTCAATTCAAGCTATGAAGTAATAAGCTACCTACAATGACCTGCTTGTACCAGGGTTATTATATATCAAAATATGCTAATGTTTTTGCTCATATAAATGTAATTGGGAGCTGTATTTTAACTTAATCATTCTGGAATTAAGTACATGCAATCTGCATTGGCTATTTTACTACAAAGATGACACTACAAAATAGGAATCTATGGAGGCCTAGGCAGGATGTCATGAACAAGATTTTTATATGAGACAAGCATTACAAATGAAACCATAAATTACCCACCTGCACATGTTCATAATGTATTTTTTCTTGCCCAGCTCTGTGTATTGCAGTTCAAAAGTCAAAGGCAATGAATTTTCTTCTTCATTTTTCTTATAGGAATATTTGAAAGAAAAACAACCATACTTATTTGTCCAAGTCCTGGAGACATTTTCCCATAAAGAAAATAGGTATGAACTGTTGATCATTTCAATCATGTTCTCTCTCAGATAGGCACTGCAAATAGGAGTTATTCATCAGTGATAAATATATCAATGAATCACATATTTACCTTACTGTTATCATCATTGGACCAATGGAGTGAAGAAAGGTAGGAAGTTTTTGTTGGAGCTGCATACATCTAGTTTTCAAACTCATATTGGATCCTCATCGTTTATTCATTTTTTCCATTCAACTGAACTGTTTTTTCATTCCCAGAAAAGACTTCTTGAGTGCAGGAAATTCATATTAGAGGACATATTATAGGTCCTACATTTTTCTATTGGAACCTTCTAAGGTAAAATACCCAGTAGCTGACAAGTTAAGGACAATTTCAGAATCAATATAATTCCTTATGGGCTTATTAAATTCTTTATCGAATAGTAATATGATGTTGATGTGTCTCATGGTGTTTTGTACCTCTTATAATCGTGAAAACACCATCATTGATTAGTCTTTTGAAAATATCATTTTTTTTTTTCAATTAGTGTAAAATACCCAATAGCTGACCTATGGAAATTTGGATATACCCATTCCTTGACAACATTTTGAACCAAAAGCTGACATTTCAGTCAAAATTATTTTATTCATTGTATTAAATCAAGTAGTTCGAAGCCATATCAAGATACAAATATTAGTGAGTGTCTGTTGTAGTCAAATAGTTGAAAAAAAGTGAGGAACGCTGTTCACACCAAAATTTTACATGGCTTGTCTTCAATACCATTAGCTAACAGTCTTAGACCCATTAGTTGACACCTTGTATTTTAGATGAAAATATTAGAAAAAATCTAGAATACTTTTTTAATAATGCATATATTACGATACAAACATAATTTAGCTGATAAAACTCAACTCTGGTGAAATGGTGAATGCATGAGGTGAAAGCATAGGTAAGTAAATAATCAAGATGATTCGAAAAATAAAAAAACAAACAGCTTTTTCAAGCTAGAATCGAGCAAGATGAAGGTTATACTTATAGATAATCATTTAAGTACTAGCCATCGACAGATAATTCCTCTTTGAATTTATATTTCAAACGATCTCCGCAGATAATCATGTCTGGAATAATGAGTTTTTTCAATATCTGTTTCAAACAAATTATGCTAACATCATCTTCATTTAGTTTGAAGAACTCTGTATTTTCACATCGTTTCATTGCGACAACTTCAGCTTCGCCCTCCGACAACAGTCTTTGAATAACACAGACATATTTATGCTGTCGCCTTCTTCCAGGAAACTCGACTAAAACATAATCACTCTCCTTGAATACCCTGTCCTGGTTACGAATGTCCACTAATAATTGTTCTCCTTCATCTTCATTTCCATCCATATTTTCATCGTGGAACTGTTCTTCTTCATCGCCATTTCCACCCATATCATCATTCTGAATTCCATCGCTACTTCCGGAAGACTTTCAAGTGGCAGACGTTTCAGAATCTGACGAAAAACTACACCTGTAGGTTCGTTTTTTAGATGAATGGTTGTTAACTTTAGCTTTTTCTGTTCTTTCAATTTGATCTGCAGTTCTCTCTTGTTTCTTCGTTCCTCAGCTTTCTTTATCTTTCTCTCTTCTTCCTCATTTTTCTTTCTCTCTTTCTCTTATTATTTTAATTGGTGTTTTTTCTTGAGAGGTCGATGGTTGTTCACTATTAACATAGATTATCGGCGATGATTGTTTGTCCTTTTGTGTGTCAATTTCTGATAATTTGTCCTTTGTTCCTGAATTCTCACCGAAATTCTCACTTTCTCCATTTTCTGGATCATTTCCGACTTGGTCGACGCTTACACGTGCTTCTTCCTTCAACTTTTTCACATTCCCTTCAATTTTTTGATATAATATGTGTCCTCTACTGCACCTTCCCATATATCAATTCTTCTTAACTTGTTAATTTTCTGTTCATCAATTTGGGTTTCTGAAAACCTCATTCCTTCTTCAAATTTTTTAACTTTCACGATCTGCTTTCTTTCCATCATCACTTGAAACAGGAACGTTTTTCAACTGCACTTCTCGAGGGTTCCACGGACATAGACCACATTTCCTGAATCCGTTTTTCAGGATATTTGGATGGAGCCTTTCGTCCATAGTATATTTCAAAAGTTTTGCGAAATCAGTCTTTACTATAAATGGATTCTGACTGCGTTCCAGCCT